GTGTTCCCAGAGCTCCCAGTGTTCCCACTCCATCCTCTCCTCACTCTCAGTCTTCCTGTGCAGATAAGGCAGGAAGAGGCTGGGTGGGAATGTCCTGCTGAGACATCCTTGACATTCCACAGCCTGGGCTTTCTGGGAAGCACCCCTGGAGCAGCCTCTGCCCCAGGACCCACAGTGTCCCTCCCATTCCCAGCTCCACATCCAGGTCTCAATAATGATTCCCATGGAAACCTCTGGCACCAGCCAGACCCTCAGACACAACTCAGGACAGTTTGAACCCACTAAAAGCCTAAAACACAAACTCAGCTTCATCCCAGTCTTTCCTCTGGATGATTTTCCAGGGAATCTTAAGGGAGTTTGGAGCCTGGACCCCAAAGAACAGAGGAGCTTAAGGCAGCAAAGAGCAAGGCAAGTTACACCTTGGAAACCTGGAAATCTGGGATTGGAACTTGGGAAAGGAATATTCCTGAAGGAATAGTCAGGGAGAGGTTTCCCAGGGAAGCTGTGGCTGCCCCATCCCTGGGGGTGTTGAAGGGCAGGTTGGATGGGGCTTGGAGCAGCCTGGGCTGCTGGGAGGTGTCCCTGCCCATGGACTGGATGATCATGGAATGGTTTGGGTTGGAAGGGACCTTAGAGATCAACTAGATGATCCATCCACCAGGTGATTGGATCCCAGGTAATATGTTTAGATTGGATATCAGGAACCATTTCTCCACGCATGGCACAACTGGGCTGGGACTGGAAGTGGGTAAGTGGGTCAGGCTGGAGATCCCCTGGGATTAATCCCACCTCAGCTGTGCTGGGATGAGTCAGTCCCAACACCAGATGTTCTCCTGCTCCTGCCCGGCCGTTTTTAGCTGATTATTGATCACTTTTTAACCCTTCCAGCTCCTTCCCTTGGAATTTTCCTTTCCTTGGAATTTTCCTTTCCTTGGAATTTTCCTTCCCTTGGAATCTCCCTTCCTCAGGAAGCAGGGGAAGCCAGAGCTACTTCCTTCCAGCTTCCAGCCCAGCCCAGAGCAGCAGCTGGGAGGCACCACCAGCCACAGCAGATCATGGAATCATTAGGGTTGGAAAAGTCATTATTCCCTTGTTTTTATTCTCCCAAGAGGAGAAATGAGGAAATGGCCTCAAGTTGCCCCAGGGGAAGTTGAGACTGGGCATGAGGAGAAATTTCTTCACTGGAAGGGTGATTATCCCTGGGACAGGGGGTGGTGGAGTCACCATCTCTGGAGGTGCTCAAGGGCAGGTTGGATGGGGCTTGGAGCAGCCTGGGCTGGTGGGAGGTGTCCCTGCCCATGCAGGGGGTTGGAACTAGATGGTCTTTAGCTCATGGAATGGTTTGGGTTGGAGGGGACCTTAAAGATCATCTAGATCCAACCCCCCTGCCCTTGGACACTTCCAGGGATGGGGCAGCCACAACTTCCCTGGGCAACCTGGCCCAGGGTCTTCCCACCCTCACATTCCAGAAGGTGCCAAAATGCACCTCAAAATGCTCTGGGATTCTGAGGGGCTGCAGCAAGTGCCAGGCTGAACATCAACCAGCTCCTTTCTCCTGTCCTCAAAGATGACAATTGACTTCACTCCCTTCTCTGGATCAAAGAGCAGCCAGAATCTCCACGGGTCTCTGTTTTTTTGACTATTTCCAAGCTTGGCTAAACCAGGATTTAGTTCAACAGCTACTTTGGAAAGCAGAAGGTTGGGGAAGCTGGGGAATTGGGGCAGGAATTGGTGGATATGTGGGCTAATACAGACTTGCCTTTGTAACCCAGTTCATAAAAGCCATTGCCTGCTGGGATCCCATCAGCTCAGGACCTTTCTGATCCTCTGGCTTCAGAAGGGGCCAAATTGCAGCTTGGGCACTGGGAAGGTGGAGGGTTTGGGCAATTTTCCCTGAGCAAGTGAGGAGAGAAGGCAGTGGATTGTGAGGGAGTCATTGCTTCTGTGTTTTGGAGCCTGGAGATCCCTTTGCAGGCAGAAGGGACGGAAAAACAGCAGGGATTTGATAAATATCCCATGGGACTTGGATGCAGCAGCATCCAAGCAGGATGTCGCAGGGTCTCCCCACCCTCACACTCCACAATTCCCTCCTCAGCTCCAACCTCCAGCTCCCTCTCCCACTTTTCATCCCTCCCCCTCATCCCATCCCTCCCTGCCCTTGGCCCAAGTCCCTCCCCAGCTTTCCTGGAGCCCCTTCAGGCACTGGAAGGTGCTCCAAGGTCTCCCTGGAGCCTTCTCCTCTCCAGGCTCAACACCTCCACGTTGCCCAGGGAAGCTGTGGCTGCCCCATCCCTGGGGGTGTTGAAGGGCAGGTTGGATGGGGCATGGAGCAGCCTGGGCTGCTGGGAGGTGTCCCTGCCCATGCAGGGGGTGGGACTGGATGATTTGTAAGGTCCCTCCAACCCATCCCATGACATTACAGTGTGTGGTGAATGATAAGCAGGAAAACCCACAGACATTTACTCCCCTGCCCTGGATTTCAGACAAATACCCATTAAACCTTCAGCCTGAGGAGCAGAGCTGGGCTTGGACCATTGACACCCCCTTCCCTGTTTTACTGCTCCATCAAGAAGATCCCTCAGGCCTCACACATTCCCTCTCCCACCAGAGCTTTCCCAGAAGCCACAATGAGAAGCAGAGTTGTTACCTCTTGGTGTTGTGGATCGTGGTGCCCCCCAGGACCACACGGACCCCCGGGTTGGAGCGGTTCAGGTTGAAGACAGTCAGAGCCTCCTCGTAGGTTGCCCCCCCAATGATGAACACAATGATGTCCTGGGGCCTGCAGAGAAGCCACAAACATTGGGACAAATCCCAAAGGATAAATCCTGCACCTCTCAGGATCACCTGAGCCCCAGGATTTCTCTGCCCAGACCTTTTTTTTGGGCTCCAGACCAAGAGCAATGTGTGGGCCCTGGAAAGGCTTTTAAAACATCATCTCTCCTGACCTTCCCACCAGGTGCTGATGGTCCTTAGAAACCTCCTCAGCACCAACCCCCCTGGAGCTCCCCGTGGGATGTTTAATGCATGATGGAGATGCTGCTGTGCCTGGTAAATCCAGATCAGTGCAGGAGTCAGACGAGGACCCAGAGGAGCTGAAGCTCTGCTGGGGTCAGTGTCACCACAGAACCACAGGGTTGGGGTGGGAAGGACCTTTGAGATCATCTCCTTCCACCCCCAGCCCAGAAACATTCCAGAGAGGGGGAAGAAGGGAAGTGCATCATCCCCCATGCCCTTCCCACAGGAAGGCTGCACTTTCCTTGGACCAACATTCCCAGACACTTCAGTTTTCCACCCCTGGGGACACCAGAATGTGCTTGGAACCCATAAATCTTGTGTGGGCTGAAACCCCCAGGATCTGGGTCCTGGTGCCATCAGTTGTGGTTGGAACTATCAGAGATTTCAGGAACGTAGATGCCCAAGTCTCTGGAATATCCAGAGGTGTCCCAGCCTTTCCCTTTGCCATCACTTTCTCTGCCACCACCCCTGGAAATTCCCATCACTGGGGGACTTCACCAGTCCCTGTGCAATTCCTGGGAGCAGCTCCTGTACCAACAATTCCTTTACCCTTCAAGTCCTCTCTGGACTTTTCAGGAAGCAACTGGCACTGCCCAAGCCAGGAGACTGGACAGCCCAGTGATCCCATCCCAGACCACAGGGAAATTCCTCCCCCCTCCTCAAGCAGCAAATCTGGGATCCATCCTGTGCACAGCTTTGTCACCCCAAAGGGCCAAGGGACACTCCCATGGAGCCCCCAGGGAATTACTGCTTGTATCAAGGGCAAATTTGGGAATAACTGTTATGGGATGAGTGGGAAAACAATGGGCAGCAGCTCCTGTTCCAGCTGCTGAGCTCCTCAGCCCCAGTTTGGGAACGTGGCTGTGGATAAACTTGGGTTACCCACCAATTTCACAGCAAAGTATTTTCTCAGAGGAGGACAAAAGAAATTCCTGGACCAAACAGGGACACGGGCAGAATTTTGCCTTAAAAATGCACAGAGCACAGGGAAGAGGAGATCCCAGATGCAGCTTCCCTGGATCTTCAGAGCCGTGTGTGAGCTGGGATGAAAAACAAACAGCCTCCTCAGGCTCCTCAGCAGATGCTGCAGGGCTGGTGCTTCCAAAAAAGGAGATGTTGGATTCACTGCCTGAGGAGATTCCTCACCCATCCCTTCAGATCTGTCAGCCCTTTCTGAACACTTCCAGATTCTTCCTCTCCTCCTTCTCAACAGGAATTTTTCCCCTCAGCAAAATTGGTGGGAAAAAGATCCAGTCCAGGCACAGGATCCTCTGAACTGGGTGGTATCAAAGCCTGATGGGGATGAAGGAACATCCTGGCAGTTTGGGACAGTAGTTTAATCCTTCACCTGAGCCCTTACAACAGGAATGTCACCCCCTGGCCAGCAGGAAACCTGTTTCAGCCTTAACAACCCTCTCCAGGGCACCCACTGGAGACCACAGGGAAGACCAAGACATTTCTATGCCAAGTCCAAGTTTGCTTCATCCACAAACACCAAAGCACCTGGCAGGGCTGGGAGGAGCAGATCCACTTCAATTCCAAGCTCTGCCCTAAGAAGCCCCACGTACCTGTCCCGGAGAGTGTTGGGCCCCAGGTAAGGGAACTGGCTCTCCTTGAGTTTGCCCTTGATGAGCTGATCCAGAGTCTCCTGGAGGAGAGGCTGGTGCTGGGTGTAGACGTTCTCAACACCCTGCAGTGCAAGAGAAGCTCTCAGGATGAATTCATCCAGCAAGGCAGCAGGCCCAGAGCCCAGCACAGGCAGATCCAAACCTTCAGGCCTTTGAGGAACTGCTTGGTGATGGCCACGGCGTCCTTGGGGCTGAACAACTCGCTGCCCCGCACGCGCTTCCCGCCGTACTCCAGGACTGCAGGCACCAGCTGCAGAGGGAGGCAAAGACAGCCCTGTCAGCCTGGGAAATGAGGCTTTCTTGGCAGCTTCTTGTCTAGTTGGGCTTGATGGAGGTACTGGGATCACAGGGTGGTGGGGATGGAAGGGACCTTCTGGAGATCACCCAGTCCAAGCCCTCTGCTAGAGAAGGATCCCCTAGAACAGATCCCACAGGAACACGTCCAGGTGGGGTTGGAATGTTCCCAGGGATGGAGACTTCCCAGCCTCCCTGGGCAGCCTGTCCCAGGGCTCTGTCACCTTCAGTGTCAAGAAATATTATCTTATCTTTAGGTTCATGCTGACCAAGGGGTCAGGGAGCAGGATCCCAAGCAGATAACCTAGCATGGAGAGAGCCAAGGGGGAAGACAAGGAATTATTCCCCAAACCCACCAAGCAACTCAAGTCTGCTGTGCCACTGCCTGCAGGAGAAATCCTTCATCTCCCCAGCCTGCCAGCAGATCTGCCACATCATCCTGCTCCTCCACCTCCTCCCCAGCTGCTCCCCACTCCTGCCAAGTGCTGCCACCCTCTCCCTCCCAGCCCAGCTCCTGGCACAGCCCCCAAAACTCCTTTGCTGCAACTCCTGCCCAGTCAGCAGGAGCAGGGGTGGGAAGAGGGAAGAAGAAAGGAAGGGTGTTCCAGGCCCCACATCCACCTGGGCCTTGATTCAGCCTTTCAGAAGATCTCTTGAATTTGGAAGGGGAAATGAAGTCACTGGTTCTGCCTTTTCAAGTCATACCTGCAGGGCCCAGCTGAGCATCAGGGCCTGTTCACAAGGTGCAACTCAAAAACCTTGGTGCTAAATATTAGCAGGAGAGGGGGAGTTTGGGGGACTTTTTGTAAGGGCTCATAGTGAGAGGACAAGGGGTGATGGATGAAAAGTGGGAGAGGGAGCTGGAGGTTGGAGCTGAGGAGGGAATTGTGGAGTGTGAGGGTGGGGAGAGCCTGGGCCAGGCTGCCCAGGGAAGCTGTGGCTGCCCCATCCCTGGGGGTGTTGAAGGGCAGGTTGGATGGGGCTTGGAGCAGCCTGGAATGGTGGGAGGTGTCCCTGCCCATGGGGGGTGGGATCTGGATGATCTTGAAGGTCCCTCCAACCCAAACCTGTCTGTCATTCCATGATTCCATAAGACAGGCTGGGAGAGTTGGGGTGTTGAGTCTGGAGAAGAGAAGGCTCCAGGGAGACCTTAGAGCAGCTTCCAGGG